GTTCGCGTGACAAACGCTTACCGATTGGCCGCGTCACGGGTGGTGGTGGCGGGTTTAACGACACATTTGGTTGGCGCCAACCGGCACGGCCGTGCCCACCGCCTGCCACGGCGTTGGCAGGAGGAGGCGGCGTCGCCCTCCCCTCTCTCTCTCGCCCAAGCGAGGCTCCTCCTGGCCACAGATGCCCACAAAGCCACCGGATGGCTCCGAAATTCCATCATTTGCCGATAATAAATTTCCACGCGACGACGATGACGATAGGCCCACTTCGTCGAGGCTATTGTTTTGTGACGGCCAGCTTAGCTTGTTAAAGAAAAGAGCTGCATCATAGCTCAGCTCATCGCCATCATAGCTCATCTCGCCACCGTGGTGATGATGATGATGAGAGAGAGACACGCAAACTCCAAATTTCCAGCAGGCATCGTCAAGGGCCAGCATCGAACCCATGACCTCCTGTACACCAGACAAGGGAGTTAACATCTCGATTTGAAGCTTTCGTGACTGCAAGGATTCACTCTTAGGTTTTTTCAGTAAAGTCACGTAGGTAAAAAAATTAATTAATGAAAGTTAAATAAAAAAAATCACGACGTTTCGGAGGCAACACAAGCTTGCTGTACTTGATACAGCAATTGTGCCGTGACGGTTCCACCTGAAGACAGAAGCTTGTGTTGCCTCCAAAAAACGTCGTGATTTTTTATTTTACTTTTATTAATTTTAATGTTATATTTTTACCTACGTGACTTTACCGAAAAAACCTAAGAGTATAGTTAACATCTTCTTGGTTGATAATTGGTTCTTTACCCTTCTATCTGGCAACAAAACTGACACCTTTTTGCAAGGAGTCATGTTTGCATAGACCGCAATACCTGCAGTCATAAATACAAACAAAAGACATAACTCTGATAATGTGCACTGTCCTTGAAGTTGATTGGTCCACACCCGAGACAGCTTTCCTTCGAGCCTAGTCTCATATGGGTTGGACCAGATGACGCCAAAAGGCGCAACTTCAAGGACAGTGCACATTATCAGAGTTATGTCTTTTGTTTGTATTTATGACTGCAGGTATTGCGGTCTATGCAAACATGACTCCTTGCAAAAAGGTGTCAGTTTTGTTGCCAGATAGAAGGGTAAAGAACCAATTATCATATTTTTACTGGCAAATGAGGTCCCCATAGTGTAGATCTTCTTGGTTCTTTCGGTAAAGTCACGTAACGCGACTTTACCGAAAGAACCAAGAAGATGAATCCCTGCAGTCACGAAAGCTTGAAATCGAAATATAGTTAACATCTCGCCACACGCAGGGAGGTCGTGAGGAACAGATGTTGGCGCCAGCTGCCGTAGGGTGGCGGCGGCGGTCGTGTCGCTACGGTTCTCCGCGGTGAGTAACGACGTCTTTAAAAAATAAACAAAGGCGCTGCTGCCGGGAACGATACGACGGTAGCAAGCCTGCTGATACGGACTCTTGCACTGTCGTCTCTTCAGCACGGCTGGTTTCAGAGGGGAGGCTGCGCCGTCCCAGATGAGAATGTCACCAGGTCGGACGAATCCTGAGTCAAGGCTTTCCCATGACTTGTGATCGATGTTAAAGCTCTTGAGGCCCTCGATGGGTGTAGTTGAAGCATGCAGCAGACTCCAGGTCTGCCCCCTAATGATTGCCAGCACCTGGGATCGAACTCGGGGTCAGCTGGGTTCATAGCACACCGCAAAAACCAACAACGCAAATGCCCCCCACCACCACCACCACCACCAACATCCCCCGTCTGTGTTGTGACGGCCGTTTCGCTCTTTCGCTTAACGTTCTAAGGGGTTCGGAGGTCAACAAACTGTGAAAATGGTCTGCGTTGATTGGACATCCAAGGAGGCGATAATTGCACGGAGCAGGAATCTCCACGTCCCCACCACCATTCCACTCGCACCGCCTTGAAAAGCTCCCTGATGGGGTTCTGGCGAGCGTACTCTGGGACAGCTCGAGGGGTCAGACGAAACCTGGGTTCACGTCCAGGTCTCATCTGCCTTCTGTTATTGGTCTCAGCTGGGTCGCGCCAATGACCGCACACGATAATAAAAAATCTATAACTAATCTGGGAAAATAAACGTGGCTCTGCACTTCGGTTGCGTAATTCCAGCTCCGAGATTTTAGAACAGTCGGTTCGATGGTCATTCGACGGAGCGTTGCTCTCCGTGGCGGAGTGGGTGCAAAGCAGAGGTCGCAAATGGGTTTTGATTCCTTACCTGTACCTGGCCGCACCAGGGTCGCAAATGGGTACCCGTTCCCTACCCGAAATGAGTGACAAACGGTGACTCACCAGTGACTCACGGCCTATCCCATACCCAGCCGCACCAGGGTCGCAAACGTGTACCCCCCGTACCTGGCCGGGTACAGGGTAACCGGGTATCAGGTAGGGTACGGGTATCGGGTACCCGGTTGCGACCTCTGGTGCAAAGTTTTTTTTATCCCCGCCGTAAGGGCGATCTCAGGAGGAGCTCTGCGATAATCGCTTCCACGGGTCGTTCTAAGGCCCCCTTCACTACACAACCACCCAGCCAGTCAGCTTCCCACAATGTGGTCCCCATTGTTTCCACCCCAGAACAAAAACACAAACACCAACCTCTTTACCACTGCACCCTCGTAGGGTACGAAATAAATTCAGCATACAAACATCATCGTCATATTCTCATGATAGATGCAAGTACACCCCACAAGCCAAATACAAATCAACGACTCACAAAGTGGTACTCCCCTTTTTAAAATCTACAAACGCCAAGCAGGCTCCACACCTTACACTGTCGTCACATTCTGCTGGCAAGACCCAGTCTGCTCACGGCTCTGTGGCATGACCCGCTGACTCGCTCTCAAAAGTGAAACTAAATTTTAAGTCTCGCCAAAAAACCAACAACCACCACTACCGCCACCCACTGCTGCCGCCAAAGGTAACCACCATTGGGGGCCCACTTGTGGCATGTTTGAAAAGTTCAGAATATTTCTTTATAATGGGAGGAATCTGACGGGCTAGAGCTCCTTTTGCACGACTACTGACTGTGTTGTGTTTACTGTATTGTTTGTTATTGCAACGTTCTGCCCCATGCCCCCAATGTCAGAGCCAGGACTTTCAGGTAGGGGGGGGCAACCCCTCCAGCAATGAAAAATGATAGAGGAGTTGTTAGTAAGTAAGGAGTTGTTAGTAGGTAACGACTTGTCCCTTGCTTTTTATTCGACGCGTGTGCGGCGATGGCGCAGCCATCGATCGAGGGTCGAATTCGAACCGCGTTGTGTGATCGGCATCGCGCTCGCTGAAGGTGAATACCTTCAGGGAAGTCGTGTGCTGTATACGCAACTGCGCACAATTCTGTGAGTCACTTATAACCAGCTTTGCCGTTACTTATTGCCAAGTATAGACTCAGACTATTGTCCGATCATCTCATAGAGTCCCTGGCACATAGTAATATGCTACAGCAGTGGCAGCGGGGGTCAGCAAAATGTCGAATGTATTACTAATAAACCCCTATGATCCAGATCATTGGAGGGGGCACGTGCCACCCCACCCCCTCCACCAATGCGTGCCCCCATTAGACATTTGTGAGAAAGAGATGTATAAGCTCATCGGATTCCTCCAGTGTAAATAATTTGATTCCGATTGAGTTAATTTTGACAATCACGTGAGCGAGAGCAATCACCCCACAGCCCAACCAGCAAACTAACACACAGAGCGGTACCTAATTTTATCCACCCTTCACCAACACCTCCATCACCAACCTCGTCCACCAAAGTACTATCACAACATCCCCCTGAAAGGGCCCAATCTATCCACGGCCCAGCCACCTTACATCACCATCAAAACCAATATCCGTTGCAATATCAAAACCAAGTCTCTCCGATTCGCACGGTTGGCTACGTACGGCGCGAAAGAAGTTCAACTGTACGTACAGAACAACCACCGCGAGATGATCCACTTTCAAAAGCAGTTCTCAATTTTTATCAGCCATCATCACCACCACAACCACCACGGTAACAATTCACCTTGCATCACTATCATCCAATGTGTTCCACTATCAACACCGCGTCTCTCCACAAAGCAACCGCTATTATGATCCGCTCTCCAAAGTGGTTCTCGATTCATCACCAACCGATCACCACCAACAACCATCACCACGGTGACACGTCACCTTGCATCACCACCCTCCAATGTGTTCCACCAACAACACCAAGTCTCTCCACACAGCAACCAGCATTATAATCTTTTCTCAAAAGTGATTCTAGATTTATCACAGACCAGCCACCACCAACAACCACTAACAACCACCACGATCACCACCACCTTGCAGAGAAACGCCACCACGACCCTCACCACCACCACGACACCTCAATTTACATCACCACCATACAATATGCATTCCAATTTCAGAAACCAAGTCTCTCCACCAACCACCACGACCATCACCACCACCACCAACCCACCGTCACCACCACACCTACCTTACAGGGAAACACCACCATCACCACCATACAACATGCATTCCAATTTCAAAAACCAAGTCTCTCCAGAAACCACCACGACCATCACCACCACCAACCCACCGTCACCACCACACCGACCTTGCAGGGAAACGCCACTGTGAAGGCCACCATCACCACTATACAACATGCATTCCAATTTCCAAAACCAATTCTCTCCACCAACCACCACGATCATCACCACCACCACCACCACACCGTCACCACCACACCGACCTTGCAGGGAAACGCCATCGTGAAGGCCACCATCACCACCATACAACATGCATTCCAATTTAAAAAACCAAGTCTCTCCACCAACCACCACGACCATCACCACCACCACCAACCTACCGTCATCCGTACACCTACCTTGTAAGGAAAAGGCCACCGTGAAGGGCACCATCCCCACCATACAACATGCATTCCATTTTCAGAAACCAAGTCTCTCCACCAACCACCACGATCATCACCACCACCACCAACCCACCGTCACCACCACACCTACCTTGCAGGGAAACGCCACTGTTGAGGCCACCTTCTCCATGGCCAGGTTGCGGATGCTGGGCGACAGCGGTCCCCGGCATGTTGGGCAGCAGGAGAGCTTCTGCCTGCACGAGTTGCACACCAGGTGGCCCGACTGGCACTGCAAGATCGGCGGCAGGACATAGTCAAAGCACACGGGGCATTCGAAGAGCGCCGTCAGCTCGTGCCCTTGCTGCTGCTGCTGCTGATGATGTTGTTGTTGTTGATGCTGCTGCCCCTGAAGCTGCTGCTGCTGCTGTTGCTGCTGCTGCTGTTGCGAGCCCGAGTGAAGAGGGGACGAGGTGGAGTTGCCGGCGCTGCTGCTGCCGCTGCTGCTGCTGCCGCCGCTGCCGCATGGTGCAAGACCCGACGACGTCGTGGCCTGGCTCTGCTTGTTTCCTCCACCGCCGCTTTTGCCGCCCCCGGCTGACGAAGGGCGGCTCATACCTTGGAGGAAGACGAAGGGGGTCGGGTAGGTGTTCTGTGAGTGGTGGTGATGGTGGTTGTTAGGTGGTGAAGGTGGTGGTGATAATGGTGATACTGATAATGGTGGAGGGATATAGTGGTTGTGGTGTCAATGGTGATATTGATGGTGGTGGTGAGATAAAGTGATGGTGGTGGTGACAGTGATGGTGGTGTTAACGGTGATATTGACACTGGTGGTGAAATATAATGGTGATGGTGGTGTCAGTGGTGGCTGGAGGATATCGATGTGGTGTTGGGTAGAAGCGGTATTTGAGACAGTGGTGTATGTACAACTTATTTGGCGCCGTACGTAGTAGTTGTAGTAGTAGTGGTAGCGTCGTAAGTGGTCCTTTGTGGTGGTTATGGAGGCGGTAGTGGTGGTGTTAGTGGTCTTGGTGGTTGTGTTGGTGACGGAGGAAGAGTGGTAGTTGGTGGTGGTTGTGTCAATGTCTCTGGTAGTTGGTGGTGGTTGTAGTGGTTGTAGTGGTTACGTCGATTGGTTGGTGGCAGCTGTGTTGGTGGTGGTTGTAGTGGTCATGTCGTGAGTGCTTGGTGGTGGTTGTGTTGGTGGTGGTTGTAGTGTTGGTGGTTGTGTTGGTGGTGGTTGTGTTGGTGGTGGTTGTGTTGGTGGTTGTGTTGGTTGTTGTTGTTGATGTCGCGAGTGGTTGTGTTGGTGGTGGTTGTGTCTGTGGTAGTTGATGGTGATTGTAGTGATCATGTCGTGAGTGGTTGGTGGTGGTTGTGTTGGTGGTGGTTGTAGTGGTCATGGTGGTTGTGTTGGTGGTGGTTGTGTTGGTGGTGGTTGTAGTGGTCATGTCGCGAGTGGTTGTGGTGGTTGTGTTGATGGTGGTGGTTGTGTTGGTGGTGGTGGTTGTGATGGTGGTGGTTGTAGTGGTCCTGGTGGTTGCGTTGGTGGTGGTGGTTGTGTTGGTGGTTGTGGTGGTTGTGTTGGTGTTGGTGGTTGTGTTGGTGGTTGTGTTGGTGGTTGTGTTGGTGTTGGTGGTTGTGTTGGTGGTTGTGTTGGTGTTGGTGGTTGTGTTGGTGTTGGTGTTGGTGGTTGTGTTGGTGTTGGTGGTTGTGTTGGTGTTGGTGGATGTGTTGGTGGTGGTGTTGGTGGTTGTGTTGGTGTTGGTGGATGTGTTGGTGTTGGTGGTTGTGTTGGTGTTGGTGGTTGTGTTGGTGTTTGTGTTGGTGTTTGTGTTGGTGGTTGTGTTGGTGTTGGTGGTTGTGTTGGTGTTGGTGGTTGTGTGGTGGTTGTGTTGGTGGTGTGGTTGTTGGTGGTGGTGGTTGTGTTGGTGGTTGTGTTGGTGGTGGTGGTTGTGTTGGTGGTGGTGGTTGTGTTGGTGTTGGTGGTTGTGTTGGTGTTGGTGGATGTGTTGGTGGTTGTGTTGGTGTTGGTGGTTGTGTTGGTGTTGGTGGTTGTGTTGGTGTTGGTGGTTGTGTTGGTGGTTGTGTTGGTGTTGGTGGTTGTGTTGGTGTTGGTGGTTGTGTTGGTGGTGGTGGTTGTGTTGGTGGTGGTGGTTGTGTTGGTGGTGGTGGTTGTGTTGGTGGTGGTGGTTGTGTTGGTGGTGGTGGTTGTGTTGGTGGTGGTGGTTGTGTTGGTGGTGGTGGTTGTGTTGGTGGTGGTGGTTGTGTTGGTGTTGGTGGTTGTGTTGGTGGTTGTGTTGGTGTTGGTGGTTGTGTTGGTGTTGGTGGTTGTGTTGGTGTTGGTGGTTGTGTTGGTGTTGGTGGATGTGTTGGTGTTGGTGGTTGTGTTGGTGTTGGTGGTTGTGTTGGTGTTGGTGGTTGTGTTGGTGTTGGTGGTTGTGTTGGTGTTGGTGGTTGTGTTGGTGTTGGTGGTTGTGTTGGTGTTGGTGGTTGTGTTGGTGTTGGTGGTTGTGTTGGTGTTGGTGGTTGTGTTGGTGTTGGTGGTTGTGTTGGTGGTTTTGGTGGGTGTGTGGTTGGTGGTGGTGGTGGTGTTGGTGGTGGTGGTGTTGGTGGTTGTGTTGGTGGTGGTTGTGTTGGTGGTTGTGTTGGTGGTGGTTGTGTTGGTGGTTGTGTTGGTGGTTGTGTTGGTGGTGGTGGTTGTGGTTTTGTTGGTGGTTGTGTTGGTGGTGGTTGTGTTGGTGGTTGTGTTGTTGGTGGTTGTGTTGGTGGTTGTGTTGGTGGACGCTCACAACAACGAGCGGAGCGCCGGGTGGCTAAAGCACAGCAAGTTGGCACAGTAGGGGGCACAGGTGGTGCATCAGCCAGTCATCTCGGTCATCTCGGTCAGTCGACCAGTGGCACCTGGGTCTGCCCCGTGACCTCCTGCCAGCGGGCTTTCGACACTTCACGTGGCCTCAAGGTGCACTTGGCCTGGCACAAGCATCGTGGTGACGTCACCGCCACTTAGTGGCGAATGGCGATTGTTGTTGTTGTTGGTGGTGTTTGTGTTGGTTGTAGTGGTGGTGGTTGTGTTGGTGGTGGTTGTGTTGGTGGTTGGTGGTGGTGTTGTAGTGGTCATGGTGGTTGTGTTGGTGGTGGTTGTGATGGTGGTGGTTGTGGTGGTGGTGGTTGTGGTGGTGGTGTTGTTGGTGGTGTTGGCGAGAGGAAGTGTACAGTACATCTCTGCGGTAGTTGCTGGCGACTCGCGCTAACGAAAGGCATCTGTTGATGCTAGTTGCTGTTGCTGTTGTTGTTTGTTGTAGTGCTGGTTGTTGCGCCTATCACACTGTTACCACTACACAAGAGTTAACACAAATACATCTACTTATTAATTTATTAAGCGTATAACACAAACCGACCGAGAGCGAGCACAACAACAACAAGAGGCGCTGGGTGAATGTGTAAACAATCAGACGGTACCGTTGTTGTTGTCGTAGTCGTCGTCGTCAGATATCTTGCGGGATCGATGAGAGTGGAAACAATGAACATTTTAGAGACATTTTTTTTGAAAAAAAACTAAATTTTAAATCCTCCAGCGCGGGGCCTCAGGCGCCGCCGCCGCCGCCGCCTTCGACTTTAACGGTGACGACTACTTCCGCCCCACTTCCTGTTCGCTGCCCTTATAAGGAGCGTACGCCCCGCCCCCACCCCGGTTACCCCGCCCACTTCTTCGTGACGTCACCGGGGAGGGGGGTGGGGTTAGAAGGTACTTCTCTCTGATACAGATTTTTTGCTGTGACAGTTTTACGTGAAGACGGAAGCTTGTGTTTTATTTTTTATTAATTTTAATTTCATCTTTTTACCTACGTGACTTTACCGAAAGAGCTAAGAGTATGAATCCTTGCAGTCACGAAAGCTTCAAATCTAGAATAGAAGGGGTGGGCTTAGTCTTTGTTTTTTTGTGGTATCTTCCTAAATCGGATGACCTCTTCCGATTCCGGGAAATGTTTCGTCTTCCGGAAGATTGAAAAGAGTCTGCGGGGTAAAGGGAGTCCTCGACTAACGAACGGGTTCGGTTGAACACAATTTTAAGATCATGTATTAGGCAGAGGTGTGGACTCGAGTCATGTGACTTGGACTCGAGTCAGACTCGAGTCATGAATTTGATGACTTCAGACTCGACTTGGACTTGCATAACAATGACTTTGTCCCACCTCTGAGGTGTGGACTCGAGTCATGTGACTTGGACTCGAGTCAGACTCGAGTCATGAATTTGATGACTTCAGACTCGACTTGGACTTGCATAACAATGACTTTGTCCCACCTCTGAGGTGTGGACTCGAGTCATGTGACTTGGACTCGAGTCAGACTCGAGTCATGAATTTGATGACTTCAGACTCGACTTGGACTTGCATAACAATGACTTTGTCCCACCTCTGAGGTGTGGACTCGAGTCATGTGACTTGGACTCGAGTCAGACTCGAGTCATGAATTTGATGACTTCAGACTCGACTTGGACTTGCATAACAATGACTTTGTCCCACCTCTGAGGTGTGGACTCGAGTCATGTGACTTGGACTCGAGTCAGACTCGAGTCATGAATTTGATGACTTCAGACTCGACTTGGACTTGCATAACAATGACTTTGTCCCACCTCTGAGGTGTGGACTCGAGTCATGTGACTTGGACTCGAGTCAGACTCGAGTCATGAATTTGATGACTTCAGACTCGACTTGGACTTGCATAACAATGACTTTGTCCCACCTCTGAGGTGTGGACTCGAGTCATGTGACTTGGACTCGAGTCAGACTCGAGTCATGAATTTGATGACTTCAGACTCGACTTGGACTTGCATAACAATGACTTTGTCCCACCTCTGAGGTGTGGACTCGAGTCATGTGACTTGGACTCGAGTCAGACTCGAGTCATGAATTTGATGACTTCAGACTCGACTTGGACTTGCATAACAATGACTTTGTCCCACCTCTGAGGTGTGGACTCGAGTCATGTGACTTGGACTCGAGTCAGACTCGAGTCATGAATTTGATGACTTCAGACTCGACTTGGACTTGCATAACAATGACTTTGTCCCACCTCTGAGGTGTGGACTCGAGTCATGTGACTTGGACTCGAGTCAGACTCGAGTCATGAATTTGATGACTTCAGACTCGACTTGGACTTGCATAACAATGACTTTGTCCCACCTCTGAGGTGTGGACTCGAGTCATGTGACTTGGACTCGAGTCAGACTCGAGTCATGAATTTGATGACTTCAGACTCGACTTGGACTTGCATAACAATGACTTTGTCCCACCTCTGAGGTGTGGACTCGAGTCATGTGACTTGGACTCGAGTCAGACTCGAGTCATGAATTTGATGACTTCAGACTTGACTTGGACTTGCATAACAATGACTTTGTCCCACCTATTAGGTATAGAGCCCTGTGAGCCATTCGGCTCTTGAATCGGGTGCAACCGCAACAAACAAAAAACAAAAACATGAACAAGAAAACATCTTAAAGTCACTATGTGACTGAGTGCAAACATAAAATCCAAGAAAAAACAGCAAAATATTGCAGAAAAAGCACCGTACACCAACGTTGTGTGCAAGAATCCCAGTGGGATGCAAGTCAAACAACAACAACAACAAGACAACTTAGTTTTCGATTTAAAGCTTTCGTGACTGCAGGGATTCATCTTCTTGGTTCTTTCGGTAAAGTCACGTAGAATGGAAATAATACAATAATAGAAATAAAACATAATGTTTTATTTGGAAATAATAAAATAATACAAATACAACATTGTGTTTTATTTTTATTATTTTTTTATTTCCATTCTACGTGACTTTACCGAAAGAACCAAGAAGAAAACTTAGATTAAGGCCATCAGTCTAACTCTGTACTACAACAAACAAACATGGCCAAACCAAAAAACTTTTCGAAAATCACCAAAATAAAGTCATAAAAGCAATGAAACAGTGATCATAGGAGGTGTGACCGACACGTGCTGTTGTAAAAGCTCGCTCTTTCATTGCTCGCCTTTCGCCCGCCCAATGACGGGTGTATTGCAGTAAATATGAAACTTGCAAGCCAAAGGCAGACAGCGACGTGATATATTCATTGCGTCCATTCGTGTGACTATTTCATTTGAAGGTTATAATCCCTTATTCTTGGTTCTTTCGGTAAAGTCACGTAGAAGGGAAATAGTAAAATATTATTATTTAATTTATAAAATATTAATATTATTAATATTATTTATGATTTCCCTTCTACGTGACTTTACCGAAAGAACCAAGAAGATGAATCCCAGCAGTCACGAAAGCTTTAAATCAAGTTATAATCCCATCTTCTTGATTCTTTCGGTAAAGTCACGTAGAAGGGAAATAATAAAATAAATAAAATGAAACATAATTTAAAAAATAAAACATAATAAAAGTTGTATTTATATTATTTTATTATTTCCCTTCTACGTGACTTTACCGAAATCCCTGCAGTCACGAAAACTTTAAATCGGAATTATAATCCCTTGTTCATCACGACGTCCTTTTAACTTTGATGTCTCAACAGCAGCGTGACGGAGACCACGTGACGATGTGAGGGTTCTGACACCGTGACGGAGACCACGTGACGACGTGAGGGTTCTGACACCGTGACGCAGACCACGTGACGATGTGAGGGTTCTGCCTTTGTGGTGAGGGTTGTGAGTTGACGCCCAGGAGGGGGGAGGAGGCGCCTCGCCCCCCCCCCCCCCCCATGTGGAGTGACGTCACCATTTGGAGGACGTCACCTGTTCATGATTATTAATGAGGGGAGCTGTTCGATGTGGAGTGACGTCACCTGATCATGATTATTAATCAGGGGCAGTGGCGGCTCCAGCAAAATCTCTCAGGGGGGGCAAATGTCTGGATGATTGATAAGGATAAGGTCCACCCATGCAATGCATAAATTAACAGCTTAAGCATATAAAGGCAACTTCACTTCTTTAATATTAATGAAAAATAAAGTGACTCTTACAATACATCTTGTTTGTTTCTATACTCACTATTAAAACAAACCACTCAAGTTTATTTTATTAAAGATTCCACTAGGTGGCGATAAATTATATTGTTGGATGAAACGTGCTTACGTGTGATGACGTAAGCACGTTAGTGCGAGCCCTCCCGGAAGCCATAGAGAAAAAAAACATATTTCAATGTAAGTCTATGGGGCCACTCGGGGCGATTCTCAGCCGGAGTGAAATCGCCCAAAAAGAGGCGGTACTCCACAGAACGTGACATGACGCTGATTGGACTATATCCAGAGGCACAGTGACGGCTAGCGTGACTCTGTAGTTGAATGACATTGGTGGTGCGTCGCCCAATCGCCCTAATGAAGAAACCGCCCCTGATCAGGGGGGAGGGTGCTCCATGTGGAGTGACGTCACCATTTGGAGGACGTCACCTGTTCATGATTAATAATCAGGGGTGCTGTTCGATGTGGAGTGACGTCACCTGGTCATGATTATTAATCAGGTAGAGGGTGCTCCATGTGGAGTGACGTCACCCGCTAATGATTATTAATGACGAGCGGTTCTCCATGCGGAGTGACGTCACCCGCTCATGATTATTAATGAGGGGGGGGTCCATGTGGTGTGACGTCACGCGCGGGACACACAGACATTATTGTTGTCCTCTTTGTTTTTTTTCGGTGAAGTCACGTAGGTAAAAAAATAATTAAAATGAAAACAAATAAATTAAATCACGACGTTTCGGAGGCAACACAAGCTTCCGTCTTCAGGTGGAACCGTCACAGCAAAACTACTGTATCAAGTGAAGAGAGCTCTAAGAGACACGAGATTATATATTGGTTAAGAGGGGGGGAGCCAGGATGCGCCGCGGGGGCGGTAAGCTGGTGACATCATACTCTTAGGTTGATTCGGTAAAGTCACGTAGGTAAAAAATAATAATAAAATAAAATAATAATAAATGAAATAACTAAATAACTAACTTAGGTTTTTTCGGTAAAGTCACGTAGGAAAAAGATAATAAAATAAAATAATAATACATGAAAATAACTAAACAAAATAATAATAAATGAAAATAACTAAATAACTACATTTAGTTATTTTCATTCATTATTATTTTATTATTTTATTATTGTTTTTTTCCTACGTGACTTTACCGATAAAAACCTAAGAGTATGAATCCTTGCAGTCACGAATACTTGAAATCTAGAATTTTTTTGTAACTATTAGCAAACTTATAGATGATCTTCCAGAAGGTTGGAAGTTATCTTTTATAGAAGACCGTAAAATGTCTTCTTCTTGATTCTTTCGGTAAAGTCACGTAGAAGGGAAGTAATAAAATAATAAACATAAAAGATAATAAAATAATTCTCACGACGTTTCGGCCACAACGCAAGCAGCCGTCCTCAGGTGAAGAACAGGTCTGTCGGAAAGACACTGGCCGAAACGTCGTGAAAATTATTTTATTATGTTTTTTTTATTATTTCCCTTCTACGTGACTTTACCGAAAGAACCAAGAAGATGAATCCCTGCAGTCACGAAAGCTTTAAATCGAAATTTAACTGTAAGATGTCTTCTGGAAGGGGGGGCTTCTGGAAGTTTGGAAGATATCTTCTGGAAGATTAAAATTTAAAAAA